TCTCTCTCGCTCTCTCTCGCTCTCTCTCTCTCGCTCTCTCTCTCTCGCTCTCTCTCGCTCTCTCTCTCTCGCTCTCTCTCTCTCTCGCTCTCTCTCTCTCGCTCTCTCTCTCCTCTCCAAGCTGTTCCGTCAAACCACGACAGACTCAGTCCCTGATGTTTTTGGACAACATTCTCACGCCGGTCGTCTCCAAGATCTTTTCATTCTTCATTTGATTGAAGAATCGCACCTTCAGAATGATCGACAGGCAACTTTGCTGAAAAGTATTCAACATCGCTTTAAAGGGGTTGATGTTTTAAGGCGGTGCATTAGGACTAAGAAGACGGTGGCTTTTTTATGATGATCTTTATTGCTGTCTGGATAGAGCCGAAGTACTTACGTTTTCTACCTCCTCGATGGTCATTCCACTCCATTGAATCTTTGCTCGTTAGTCGAATTGTGTACACGCATGATCTTTGTTTTGATGGGGTTAACTTCTAGACCTAATGTCTAGGCCACCTTGTACACTTCTACAGTTAGTGTCAGTAAGTCATTGGTGCAGTCATTTAGTAGTACAGTATCATTAGCTTACTCGAGATTTGTTATGATTACTACTTAGTACCTTCGGCTATGTCGTCGTCTGATAGTAATTCTCTCACCATTTGTGAGAACGACACCCCTCCCTGTCACGTAATCCACGTTGAATAATGGAGGTGAATGCACCCTTTTTGGTTCACTTCACTGTTGATGTTAGACCAGTCCGACAAAGATTCTTCTGCTCTGATGTCCTTCTTACAGTTCTTTCAGCAATCCGATGATCTTCTGTTTTACTCCGTAGCGTTTTTCTGTTTTAATTTACAGTTTACGCTTTGTGATGTTTTTAATCAGCTATCAGATTGGTCAAGGCGGAAGGTTACTGTAAAGCGCACTGGTCATTAGGAGACATAGTGGCAATTCTCGCAACTCTGATCACTATATCACGACACCAAGCTGTTCCTGTTGTTCGCAGGCCAACGGTTTTACCCTTTTCTCACGTGTTTTTGCCGAAGCCCACGAGGAAGAATTCCAGTCTTAACGGAATTAGCAGTTAATAAGATAAAGTTTATCCTGTGTTTCTGGATTTCATTTTGGCATTTCTAAATCTCAGACTGATAAGTTCATCCGTATTATCCCTGCCCCTTTTGTACCTCGGTTTTTCTTTCCATCACTAGACTTCAGTTATGCTCAGTGGCAGTGCTTCGTAAAAGTCCAATTTTAAAGAAAATGCATCTTATGTCGGTGCTTCTACCTACTGAATATTATGTTTCTCATTAATGTGTTGTTCTCAAAGATTGGTGCTTTTGATTCCTCATCGAAATAAGTAAATTAAGCAAATGCATTTGAATTGGTACCTGACTTTCAAAATGATTACTTGTTTTCACTGTTAACTCACTGGTCATTGTATTGTCACGACTAGTTTTGCTTTAGAATATCGTTTCCACTGCCATTCCTGTGGTTTACACTGATGGAGCATGTTCAGACAATGGCGGTAATAATGCAGCAGCAGGGATCGGCGTTTATTGGGGCAAAGACGATCCGAGAAATGTAAGTGAGCGACTAGAAGGTAAGCAGACTTCAAATCGTGCTGAGATTGAAGCTTGCTGTCGAGCGGTTGAACAGGTACTGAGATTCTCTATTAAATTTAGTTTAAAATGTTTTTTCTATTTGTTTTGTCTTACTGTAGGCAATTCATTTTGGTATGAGGAAGATAGAAGTTCGTACCGACAGTGCTTACGTGGTGAACGCAATCACGAAGTGGATGAATAAATGGGACGAAAACGGAATGACCAGAAGCAATGGACAGGAAGTACTGAATTTGATTGACTTAATGCGCCTGCGACGACTCGCTGAACGTCTCGAGGTTACTTGGAAGTTGGTCAGAGGCCATTCTGGTAATGAAGGCAATGAAGAGGCTGACAAACTTGCCAGACTGGGTACCGAAAAGGACGCCAAATAGATGGCAGCTTTCAAGCGTAAAACTTGTGCTATTAAAGCTTCTCATTTGCGAAAGTAACGCTAAAAGATTTTTCAGTTTGTTCAGAGATTGTGGTTTTAATTTATTATGTATTTCGCTGCAGTGCATTTATTCATTGTTGGCGGTTCACACCGTTAACTGTTGTGTTTATACGGTGTTCGGTTTCTTGCAGTTTTACTGTGCTTCTACAATTATTGTCATTTCTGTAATTTATTGTCTGCTCCCTCGTTCGATGTTTATTTCTGTTTCTGCATGTTTGCCGTCATCTCACGGTAACGGAACGAGATAACCAAGGCTGTTTATTCGTAAGTTTAGAGTTTGCTCAACTGGTTGTTACGCACAAATGGAATATTTATGGTGATGGTATTTAACTGGATTTTGCTGTTTCAGGGTCTGCGTCGTTCATCTGCAGCCTCGCTACAACAACCTTTGTTATACGGTTGCGTTGCTGTTATCTTGTCCATTGTTAAAAGTTGATGATAATCATCGTTTCTTTTCGTTTTCTTTTATTGTAGTTGCGAACCGTTAAAATTAAGCAGTTTTTATGAATTCGTTCTTTTTAACTGTATAAACCCTTATATTTTGGGTCCGTACTATTTTCTTGTTTATTTGTTTCAAACTTTGGTTGCTAAACAAATTCTATTACATGTGAAATAATTCTTAACCTGCAATACGTAAAATATTAGCGTACTTCCGCTTAGCAGAATTTCATGGTACATTTTTTTGTACTTTAAAGACTGAAGAAGATACCGGGGAATTCAACCAAAATAGACAGGCTTCCAGGACCGATATCTGGCAGAGTTTTCTCGTATAAAAGTTGAACAGCGCAGACCACTCCCGTTGCATTGATTTGCCACTTTTCTCGACTTCAAAGCCAATATGATTCAGTACATCGTCAAACAATATGGAAAATCCTAACATGCCATTGGATATTTGACCATAGCGCTTCCATTTATGCAGGGACTACCTCTAGAGTTAAAATTAATGAAAATGTACTTGAATTGTTCCCTACTAATTCGCCAGGAATATGTGCTTTTATATTTGCTGTTCAACATTCTCTTCCTAAACAGTTCTGATCTTGACAGATGTCAGGATCGCATTCTCAAGGTAACATCTTGCCAGATGTCTTGCTGATGTGGAGTATGGAAATAGTAGATCTGCCTTAGTAAGTAGTACTTGCAAGTGGCTGTATCATCTGACGGTTTTCTTATGTAATGGTGTTACGAATGTAAACTTGTTTTCTTCAGTGCCGGAAGTCAAAGGTGATGAAACCCAATCAGCACAGCTAATATGCCAGTGAAACAGCTAAGTGGAGCGCCGAATGAGACCCGCCCATATATTTTTTTAGCTGTCATCCTCATTGATGGCATCATACAGTCAAAGTTAAGTAGGGTAATGACCCTTGCTTCCAGCACTTTCTGTGGCCTGTCTACTATTTTGACATCTTTGAGCAAAATATGTTTGTGGCGTACCTATCCGGTCATGTTCTTGCACGCCATGGAAATAACTGTTTTAACGAAGAACTAAGTACAAGAATTGAACAGCGTACAGCAGCGATGGCTGTGACTCTTCATACGACAGAACCATAATGAAGAATAACTATTCATTTTCCAGCACATGCTTCCTAAATGGATGTGCAAAAGAAGAAACGTAAGATGACTCTTAACTAAATTAAACTGTTTAATGTGTCTGTGAGCTTTTCGGTCAGGAATTTAAACATGGCAATCATCCAATATGGGTATGGATGAACACGCTAGAGGGAGATTTGCTTTTGAAAAGTAATTTTTCCTTCTATGATGCAGTAACGCTTCACTATAGCGAAAATGTTTACGATCTGCGAATACAGCGTGTATAAAAAATCAAACTTTCTGCATATGTAAACGGCTTATACTGATAATCTCAGTAAACCACTGCAAGACAGTTTTATTTTAACATGATATCCTCTACAAGGAAGTGTCAAGAATATTAGTGATATGAGTTGTTACTTCATGCGATTTTCACTGGTATTGAATTCATAATCATTTGTTTTGATATTCTAACGATCATCGAAATATAATTCTTTTATATTCTGTAGAATGTCTAAACGCATTAATGGAATTAATCTTCCAGTTCTGCGACAACGTTAACCATGATAAAGAATATGAACTCTACACGGGTTAGAGCCTTATCGCCTAGCGGTCAAGAAACTGTTTATCCAA